AAATTTATGTAAGAAATGCGAATAGATACAGCATCAATTCGTATTACCGGATTATTATCCAAGCTTTGCTTATTGATCTGTTTTGCTACTGATGGGGGTGGGGGTAAAAATAGCTAGAGACTAACTAAATATATTTAATTTGACGATAGGTTCAGATTAATAGTTATTATCAATTGTTTGTTGATATGTTTGTATAAGAAAGGCACAATCGATTTCATAAGATGAAAAATTTTGGAAAATATAAATATAGTAATGTAAATTATATTGCTATAATACATATGCTGTTACATTAATGGCATAAATAATTGTATTTGAATAATTGTATTCAAACAAAACTTTGGTAACAATCCGATAATTCCTTATACCATAATTTTTAATTTTCTTAAAATTCTTGAATCCTTAAATGTTTAGATCTGTCTATACAAAAAATTGTCTATAAATTTCCTCGAGTTAAACCAAGAGTATTTTAAACAAGGTAAAGAGGAACTAAGTATAAGATTAATTTTAGCAAATATAGAATAAACTCTTTTCAGCAGTAACGCGTGGACACGTACATCGTTATTGGTTAAATAAATAGCGTGATAGAAATAGAAGAGGAAAAGTATAGAGAATATTATGTCGGATACAATGATATTAAGACGATTGAACTTCAGTAGGAGCATACAATTGCGAGGAGAAATTCGTTATAGAAAATAGAATACTATTGAAGACTAGTCGCGATCATTGTTTGAACAAATCGCCATCAGGATCCATAAACTATCGATCTGTATCGCGTATTCTTCAAACTCAATCGCCAGGCTCTGCTTCTCGTCTACGTATTATATCACCATAAACGCTTCAATGATTTCCAGTAATTAATGTTTCTTCTATTATCGTACATCTAATTGTTTGTTGGTGCACCACCTAGCATGCGCGCCAATTACGTCTTAAATATTTTTAGAAACATTTCGAGTGAATACAACTTGCAGGTGCACGGTGGATTCCATTCATTTTGCAAATTAAAATGGCGTGTTAATAACAGTACGTTAAACGATAAATTAATATTCAAATAAAAGTCATAAATAACAACAAACTTTTTAATTTCGATCATTTTTTTTCCAATTTCGAATTCGTTAAAAATGAATAATTTATAAGATCAGTATAAACAGGTCATTAGGTTTAACTTATAATTATTGCATTTTCGTACCAGTTAACAGACAGTGTTTAAACATTTTTCGCAACAAAATGTATTCTGTAAGCTTTGTCTTTAGGAATTCATAGGTGACAGATGAAAAGCATTCGAAAAACAGATAAGAAACATTCAAATCGTATCCACTCGAAATCGCAATGAGAAAAGTGCACATTGTATATTCCTTTCTTTTCATGAACGTATTTGCGCGCATTAGAGCTGTGTATGTAGGTATTGAATGGTTCAGAATCACGTGCTTATGAAAAATAGTAAAAGTGCGTAGTTAAATATATATATATATAATATATATATAACATTTATGTATATATAAGTATTGCCCAAAATATGAGTCTCGTACTATGTATGTATATGTATAATAATAATAATAATGTAGAAGGATTGTGAAATTGATATGTCATCAAAGCAGTAATGTTATACGTATCACAGTGCTGTGATTGAGAATAATCATAATACAAAATTAATTTTTTCTCCCTCCTCTTTCGATATTGTTTCCTGCTTTTCTTTCTTTTTTTTATACTTTTTGGCATTTCACTTCGTCCTCGACCTATCTTAATTTTTCCTCTTGCATCTTACAGAAATTACGTGTACCTCAAATATCAATAGTTTCAGTTTTTCATGATAAAAATACTTGTAATTAAATTAGAACTGAGGGAGAAAATATAAGGGAGTACATTTTTTAACTCCTCACAAATGAATCTTACCCGTTATACAACTATTTTATGTAAGGTGAGAATTATTTCATGTTATCTAACAGATTACTTAATATATTACATTCACCGTCTGTTCTTTTACAATTAACAAAATTTTATGAAATTATGATTCCATTTATAGTTACATTATACTCAATTTTGATTAATCAGTGCATTATCTAAGGATGTAAAATTTAGACAATTCTTTACAGCTACTATCCAGTGTAATTTTATTTTCAGTATAAATTGAATAACAATATATTTATTCATTTTAATAATATGCAGCACTTTGTGCTATTATTTGTTGATCACATTTGTTTTAAATACTATATACTAAAAAAAAGAAAATAAAAAAAAAGAAAAAATATATATATACAAATATATACACGTTAATTTTCTATTATTCTTTAAAATTAAGTATTTCGTGTTTTACATTAAATAAACATCAAAAATAAGTTATTACCATTTTTACTGAAAATAATATCCCATGGATCTTCCATATTTTATAGTCACAACAATGCCAAAAGACAATTTAGTAAAAATAGAATTGTTAGAAAAAATACAATGTATAATTCTCATAAGTATCATAAATTTCTAATATCGTTGTATAAAATATAATTAAGGCTACCAATTTTAATAACAATTTATGTTATACTCCACCCTACATATGTATAACGTCCAAGATTCATATATGTGTACAAACATATACAATGCATAAATGTGCACACATATACCTTATTATATCCTTCCTACTTATTAAAAGAATAAGAATTAAATATCTTTTCCTGAAAAATATTTTGTTATATTAGTTCATTTCTAATTTCAGGAATAAGTTTTTCATTAGTAAATTCCTAATTTCTAGATTGTCCGCAATCGCCTTTCAAAGAGTATTTACTCTGGGTGCGAAACACGATAATTACTTGTTCTTATAAACTGTCAAGTGTTCTGCATTTTTCATAATTCATACATTTTCTCTCTTTTTCTTTCTTTTTAAACCTTGTCTATTGCGAAATTCGTGCCGATAATTTCGCAACGTATCAAAAAGTATATATCTACACTTTCACATTAAGCACACCGACGCTAACGATACGAATAAATTTAATTGTAATTCTTATGAAATAGCATAGTATCCTTTTAATTTTTGGTCTCACTTTGATAACTTACGCCTAAATATTGTCTCGTTAGAAAACTAAATTTCTGTTTTACAAAAATCAACGTTTAACTTTAATTTTCATCTTTCACTCATACTTGACTCTTTCTATACGTACAAATCTGGACAATTATTTCATACCTGTGACATTTTAGGAAATTTTGATCAATTACCTTCGTTTCTTAATTCTGAACAACAAAATAGAATTGTTTTTTTTCAACTTGCTATTTGATATTCGTTGATATCAAAAATGTAAGCCTTTAAAAAAAAAAAGATTGTATATTTAAGTATCGAAGCATCGTTAATAGACTTTATGTCATCTATTTCTCAGTACATTTAATGTACCTTTTATTTTCTCTGATAATATTTATGAAACTTGTATCTACACCCAGACACTGTAAACAATATAAAAAGTTCCATCGTATTTATTAAAATGTTAAAAAACGAAGAATGGAACAATTTAAATATAATTTTTTTTTTTTTTTAGATTATAACAATAAAAACTATTTAAAAAATGTATGCTTTTCTTACATTTAAAAATGTAATAAAAAATATGTATTGAATTCTGAATGTAGATACGTAACGATACGTACTCGCATTTTAAATATGTTTTCAAAAATATAATGACTGCACCTTACAAAGCGTCTTAAACTCGATTAAAAAACATCATTATAGTGTAAATTCGTAAAATAATTCCAACTACAGAAGTAAAAAAGCAGTAATGCATATCATTATATATTTTGTTACGAGCGTTTTATATCGAGCTAGTCTCTGTCACGGATATCTACTGCTTATTATCATTTCAGATATTTACAAATTCGAAAATGGCAAAAGCATGCCATTATTTTTCAATTCCGTATTCATTTTCTTTACACTTTTTCAATTCCTCGATCTAGAATATTAAAATAACCCCTCAAACCGACTGCCACGCAAGTTCAACAAATGGATTATAAACAGTTTTATAAAACAATATGACTAAAGTATCACTTACATTTAAAGGATTCGTTTAAACTAAAAATTAATAAGCATATAATCCATAAGTTTTGTAAGTAAATTATATACAAATAAGTAACCTCTTTTTAATTTATAATATTACATCTTCTGTACAATAATACTAATCACGCGAAATTATTCTGTACAACGAAATGATCCGAGGGGTTAATAACATCAGCCAAATACTCTTGGCTGAAACTTATTCGCTAACTAATAAACTTTACATTTATCCACCAATTATTTTACGGGCCACGATACGATGAATATTTTTACTTGCTACATCGATTCATTTATGGTCTCGTGCCAATTGCAATAGAAAATTCTCGCGTTGTTACATACCTTGTTGAGAAATTATGATCGATCGAGGTTCGAAGCAAGCAAGCAAAATATTTCATTTTCTTCTAACATGAGCAGTAATTTTTATAAATATTCACTGATTTAAGGGAAAGCTTGCAAAATGATAAAATTTTATCATCCTGAATTTTATCATATAAGTGAAATACGGAAATATAATACATCAATGATTATTATTCGCCCAAAAGAAAAAATGTAAAAATCAGATATTGTAAAATTTCAAACGTATAATATAGTATCAATGCGAAATGTATTGTAATATGAATATTTTCTGTATAATATGTTTGGATATTGAGATTTTTTATATGAAATTTGATGTAATTCGCGACATTGTTTAAAAGACAATATGTATAATGTATGACTTAGTATTCTTCAAATAGCATCAAATATTTGCTGAAATAATTAAATACTTAATAAGATAATACTTATAAAGAAGCTTATTAAAATAAACTGTGCAATTTATATCAGACTTCAGCATAGTAAAATATAAATGAAAAGAAAAGGAAAGGAAAAGTCATTACAAACTTTGTATAATTGCATTACAACAAGATAAATGAAAAAGGTAAATGAAAATTGAAACAATTGTAGTATCGGAACGATAAAAAATAAAATCGAAATTCTTGCACACTGTCGAGACAAATAAGAGACCATAAATAAACAAACTTGTAACAATTTTGTACAATCGTACAACGTAAGGGCCCCCTGGTGGAATTTAGATTGATTTCCACTGCGGTTTGTGGGGACCCCCCCTTAAATGTCAGGGAGGTCCTCTAGGAACCCACAGCGCTTTGCTTTGTTCTTCATCTACTGCGGCTTTTACTTGCGTACATATATACGCTACATTTACACCAGCTGGAATTACAACTGAAATACGTGAAAATTATGTCAACGGTAATGAAACAAATCCATCGCAAAACATAAAACCATTATATCAGATACAAATTTTTATTTGATACGTATTCTTACCAGAAATATGATGCCTATACTCAGCTTCCAATTTCAATGCTTGTTCATACATCTCCTTGGCAGCTTTAGCGCTAACTTTGTCGCTTGGATATCTGGAATCTTTTACTTCCTTTATTTGTTTGGTACTTTTAAATTTAATCAACAAAACTATCGGATAGATCTGGTGTCGATGAAGTCGCTCAATTGATGCAATTGATACATCCAAAACGCAATGAGTATTCTATAAAGAAATATTTTTCAATTAAGTTTTAATGAAATATAACAAAGACACGAAAATAAAACCAAAGAATAATATAAATTTAAACTCATCTACTCTTAGGTGTTTAACCTAGTGTGTTTATACGCTTGCTATAAATAGCGTTATCAATATTGTATACGCATTGGATAAAAAAAATACCTTCTCACAGATGTCCTTGACAGCTTGTACTGTAGTACACTCGAAATAGCTTCCTTTTTTTCTGTAATCCACGTAAAGTGAATCGCGTAAACCTTGTTCAAGCGTTGCTTGAGAACAATGCATAGCTTCTGCAAGACATCTAGTGAACTGTCCTGGAAATTCTTGTAATAATTTTGTCACTACACATTCGCTTAACGGGCCAATAATCAACACCGGTCTTAGAGCTGGATCTACATGAAAATAAAAGTAACAGAAAAAATGTAATATTTTAATAAAATGAATTAATTTAAATTAATAGTTGATAAGTATGTATCAAACAATTATTGCATCAATTTTATTTCACAAATACTTACAATCCAATCTTTCAACCCGTTGGTAGCTTGCTGGAAGAGTTTCTTCATTTAGCGTCCCACTATCACTGTACCAACCCAAATTTACCCCTGTAAGATGTGACAATTCTTTACTGTCCCTACTGGAAGAACGTTGATGTTTCTTTCGACGGAAAAAGCTTCTTCTTGCACTTGTGCTACCCCTTCTAGTAGTATCTGTTTCTAAATCGCCTAATGAACGCCGTAAAAGCAATTCTTCTTCGACCCTAAGAATATTACGAACATATATATGTATAAAGATATAAAATAAAACCCTAAGTGGTTTTTTTAAATTTCTATTTTTCCCAACTTACTTGAATTTGCTGGGAATTATACCACAAGTTTGTCTTCTTCCAGATTGATCAACTATCCAAGCTCTCCAATGACCCGGAGTACCATTGAACATTGTATTATCCACATATAAAATATCGTCCTTATTAAACCTAAGTTGTAGGCTATCTCCAACTTCACCTACTCGATCGAACATTGCTTTTACATAAAAACTGTCTCCTGGTTTATCTTTTACTTCGTTATACCTTTCAGGTACATATTGAGCAATCAGTGTTACTTTATCCGCTGGTCTGGCCAATTCTAAAGCAGCTTGTTCTGCGGTTGCTTGTCTGAGATCAACACCGTTATATTCTAGGATACGATCACCGGTACGTAACCCTGCCCCTTCGGCGAGGCAGCCGGGTTGTACCGAATGTACAAATATACCAACCCCATTCCCACCTACAAGTGAGATACCTAAATTCGAACACTTCCTTGTTTCGATGAAAAGATACCTTGGTTCATTTGGCGGCGGGCTTTTACGATTTTGTTCTTCTTGCGTAGGGCTTCTTACGGTAGCATTTTGCCGTTGCAATGTGGTTGCTGCTTGATTAAGCTGTGCGCGTGTAAGAGTATTAGCAGTACCACGTAGTGTATCAAGAGTTGCAGAGTTACGCATATTATCCAATGTGGCTGAACTACGAAGTTCCGGTTTCCTTATATTAATATCCAAAGATGCCGATGCTCTAATTTCTCGTTCTCTTTCTTGTGTACTTCGTACTTCCAAAGATGCAGAATTTCTGATATCTCTTTCCCGAATTGTACGGGGTGGTTCCAAGGTGTTTGAAGTTTCGCGCATAATAGTCAAGGTATTAGAAGTATCGCGTGTTGTACTTAAACTACTAGAGGCATCACGTTCAGGTTCCGTACTTTCTAGCGGCTCAATAGTTGTTTTCCTAGGAGCTTCAGGACTATTACATGGAGTTGGTGATCCGCTACGACTACCTCCTTCAGCACCACCAGCTTCTGATGAACTCGAAGAAGCAGACCCTTCCTCTAACTCGTTATATTCTAACAAAAAAATAACATATAAGTATGACGTTACATCAAGTAGGAACCATGCAATAATGATAAATAATAATCACATTTAACGAGAAAAGTGCAAAAAGATTCGTATAAAGTGCATCTTGCAATAGGGATATTCTACTTGTTCTAACAAAACTCTGTACTCACTGTCTGGACTATACTGCACCAGCATCGTAATCGAATTACCGCACTGACGTAACACATTGGCAGCAAGTTGATAAGTAGCGCTTCTCATATTGATACCGCAGACTTCAAGCAACTGATCGCCAATTTGAAGACCGACTTGAGATGCTAAACTGTGTTCGCTAACAGTGGAAACAAATACACCACCGCTCTCTAAACAAGAAATCTGGATACCTAGGGGCTCGACTGACTTGTCTATATGAACTCTGCGAAGTTCTCCAGGTGCCGGCCTAGGCTGAGAGTAACAATAGTCCGGCATGCTGGACCGTTTGTTGCTACTACTCCCTCTAACAGTTCCACCAGAGCTACTTCCACCACCCGTACCAGGGCTAAGTACTTCCACGTGGAATGTTGGCATTGGACTGCCTCTTTCTGAAGTTCTTTCTATACTGCCAGTAGACAATTTACCCACGCTGCTTTTTGAGGTCACACTAGGATTTGATGGTATTCGAAAACGTTGATTTTCCTTTTTTCTCGGAAACGTTCCGCCTTCGTAGCCATGCGTGTATGCTGGTACATCGTATGTAGTGCCAATTGGTGGAGCACGAGATTTGTGGTAATGCAAATCTACAGAGGGTGTGTGCAAATGCCCGAATCCTGTTTGCGGGCCGGGGCTATATGAAGGTTCGAAACAATAAGATCGTGCATCGGGAAGTCCTATCGACTCCCCGGACTGTGCAGACGGTAAAGACGGCGGAGAAGGGTATCTCGAAGGTAAAGAATTCTGTTGATGGGGATGCGGATGCGAATGCGTACAGGGAGGAAATGAAAAATTACCAGTCAACTGCTGTCTCGGGCCGCTAGTCGACGAAGTTGAAGATCCAGCCCCAGAATAAAGCTGAGATTGCGCTCTATTATGCTGAAGTGTGTCTACTTGGCTCTCGTTGCTAGGGGTATACTTTTGCGTTCTCTTCTTCGAGAAATATTCTACATCTTTCCCCGTATTACCCGACTTTACGGAAAAGTCTATACTAGTTTCAGATGGTGTGAGCGTTGAACTGAGTCTATTTTCCGTGTTCTCGAATTCAGTAGCCGGTTTCTTATCTATCGGGATATCTTTGAACTGCACCACTGGAGTAAAGGATTTTTGACTAAATAACGGTCCAGTTTTAAGGAAATTTGGTAATGGTTTTTCTACAGATTTATAAACTGTATGCCGATTATTGACATTGGAAAAATTGGTTAAGGGAATAGGATTAGAAATACGATTATAATTATAACTTTCATACTTTGGAGGTTGATTAAGGAGTACACTTAAGGGCAACCTTTCTTTTGTTTTACGTGGATGTAAAATAGTGCCAGTACCGTTTTGAATCAGAGGTCCACCTCTCGCTTTCGGCCACGTACCTCCATTTTTCTCAACTTTTTCAGGTCCGCGTCGCTTACTTCGTTTCAGTACTCCGTTATTTGCTTTCTTGTGCTCTCTATTACTAATGCTCTCTATCACTGAATCCAGTTCTGCTATTGCATCTTGTTCCTGCTCGAAGGTATTCGGACTCGAATTGCGATGTCGCTTCTTCTTCTCTTCCCGATCTTTGCTGTGTTTACGTCCTCGTACTATATCAATCTTTTCTCGTAAATTGTCCCAAGCATTGCTAATTCCGCTTGGTTTTTCACCACTAACTGATTTCGAAACTTTGTAAACACTTCTATCACCAAAATTTGAAGCAACGTGTCTCCTTTCATAATCGTCCGATGGAATCTTTAACAATATTCTTTCTTGCTCTGTTTGTGAACAACTATTCACCATTTTTTGTTTTTCAGTACCAAAGCTACCATCAATAGTCATAGTTTCAGAACTAGTTGCTGAAGGTAATGGTATGCCTTTCAATGTCGTAATAGTTAATACATCCGTGTTTGTGTCATTCAAAGTTGCCATCGCTTCGTGACTGGAATTAATGCCTTCCATTGGTTTACTATTAATCTATAGAAGAAAAATATATTAGATTAGTATTAAGGAGGGGTGATACAAAAATCTAAATAAGTCCAATAGCAAATATATATGCAGAACATACATTCAAAACTCTATCTCCTACAGCAATGTTGCCATCTTTAGCAGCTAAACTACCAGGTGAAATCTTCGAAATATATACTCCAAGTTCCAAAGAAATACCATGAGGAACTGAACCAACTGGCAATTGAGTTGTTCTTAATGATCTTCTAGTCAAACGTCGTCTTCTTATCGTTAATGTAGCTGATCCCACCGAACAGGTACGTAAAGTTTCCATGATTACACGCGTAGAAACGGATGTACAATCTACATTGTTCACTCGCATAATGCAATCATTCACTCTTAATTTACCATCAGTAGCACTTCCTGATGTTACTTGAGCAACATATATTCCTGTATCATTTGGATAATATGGATTGTCACGGCCTCCAACTAGTGTTAGACCTAAATCACGATCAGAATCCAAACAAAGTCGACTAAGATCCAAATGAATAGTAAGAATTTCCCAGTCACTAACATCAGTATCGATCGCCGAATCATGAGCATGCGTTAAACTTTGTGCAAATTGACTTGCTCTTAACGCGTGATCACCAGATTCTATTTTTTCCTTCAGATCCTTCAGTTCTTTCGATGCTTCATTCCGTTGCTTTTTAATATCGTCGGAATCACGTAAAGCACCCGCTAATTCTGAAACCGCACGATCACGTTCTTTTCTTAATCTATCGCAAAGAGTTCTAATACTTTCCCTTTCTAAAACAATTTTATCTCTTTCACTGAAAGCCCAGTCTCTTCTTCGTTTTGAAACCTCTGCTTCTTGGAGAGCTTCTTCAAGTTCCGCTTGCAATTTATCGACCGATTTTCTAAGTTTATCCAACTCCAGGTTTGCTTGATCCAAATTATCCATACGTTCCTTATCTCGTTTAGTGTAATCTGCCGTGTTATTTTCTCTTTCAGCTTCTTTGTTCGAATTATCTCGTTCGCGATTATACGAGTGCAACTCCATACGATTTTTATAATCTCTGTTTGAACCTTCAGAATAATCACCAAATTTCTGACGTAATTCGTTACATTGTTTTAACGCTTCGTCACGATCTTGCAAAGCGGATGAAATTTCTCTTCTTAAAGTTTCAATTTGATAGGATAAAGCTTTTTTCTAAAAATAAGGAAAGTAGATATTAAAATACAGAACGTTAATTTAAAAATAGTACGCGTAGTAGCAAGTACTACACAGTATATAAATAACTAAAACCAATACAAAATCTGCAAGAAGAAAATAACAATAATGAACCAATTATTGTACTTAGTAATTTTTAATTATATTATTATTATGCATACAATATATTTTATAACATATTCAAATGAATAAAGGATAAATTAATAAAAATATGTTTATTAGATACAGAAAAAGTTACTTTTATGTTATATGAGAAGATATATCTAATTTAAATAAATTTACCTCTTCCATAAGTTGCTTGTTTTGATTTTCTAAATGTGTGATTTTTGTATATGCTTGAGTGAGATCATCACCAAGTTTTTCCATTTCTTTATGTACTGTATCTCGTTCACCCATAATTAAACTGTACTCCTGTAATGCAGCATTTCTTTCTTCTGTTAATCGTTTCATATCCTTACTAGCCTTCATACGTAGCACCATTGCATGATTTATTTCTTTCACTGCTTCTTCATGTTGCTGCTGTACTTTCGCTAGGGCTTCGCGATATTCGTTTCTTTCCCTTAATGCAATGTCCCATTGCCGAATAGCGGCAGTACACTGTTGTTTTAACCCATTACGCTCACGAACTGCACTATTACGTTCTTGAACAACTTCATCATATTGTTTCTTTAATCTGGCAGCTTCTTCTTGCGATAATTCCAACTATATTTAACGATATATATAAAGATTAGAAAATTGAAACTATTCTCTACAACTGTTGATATATATATATATATATATGCATGGTCTACCCATACCTTATTAACGGCCGATGAATGCGATGATATTAAATCATCGTATCGTTTCCTCAGGGCATCATACTCGTCTTTAACAGCATCATATTTTCGAAGAGCAGATAAATAGTGCTGATTCATAGTGTCACTATTACTAGCATCAGAAACAAGAACTTCTTGATTTTGACACCGTAATTCTGACACTTCTTTCTGCAACGCCTGAACTTCCCGATCTAGGCGTTGCTTGTCATTTACTAGATCTCCATATTTGCCCCGCAATGCGGAACTCTCTTGTGACGTTGCCTCCAACTGATTCATGACTGCTATATGTTGTCCCCTATAGTACTCCAATTCTTTCATAGTATGTTCACACCTGTATTTTAAAATATATTATTAGATATCTGTATGTGTCTGAATTATATTTGCTTTATACAGAACATCAAACACAATAACACAAACAATTAAGCAGTACCACGTTAAACAAAACCAGGACAAACCGTCTTATAGTATCGGAGTGCTTATGCCTAAGTAGCTGAAGCTGATGCATGGCTTGATCACACTGAGCTTGCAAACCATCATAATCATTACGACATTCAGGCCCACCAACAGGACTGCCGACACTGCCATAGCCTCCACTATCTCTTTCTGCATGCCATACACGCAAGTTTATCCAATAATACAAATTGCAAAATGGTAAGTACAATGCTATTAAATATAAAAAGTGTAGTTCTACATATAAGAGTAATACTACATATAAGAGTAATACAACAAAGTGTGCATTAAATTGAAAATAACTATATTAAATACTTGTGTTAAAAATTGATTTACATTTTTTTTATAAATTAAACACACATTGTAACAGGATGTGTATAAAAATAGCAATAAACGTAATAAACTACTGTAAATAATTTATTGATTTTAAGAAAACTCAAAAAATAATTCAATCCACAATACAATTTGACATTAATCTGTATTTTTCTTATATATTACTCTTACCCATATTGAGTGCTCCATCTGCAAAAAAACAAGGAACAAAAATATAAGCAATTGTAGGTACAATATATAAAGCACTATAAATATAAAAGTGAAATGATTATATTTATATAGCATACACTATGTTGTTACAATTGGTAGAACAATATAATCAGAGGTCTAGCTAGCTTTCACCAGGAAAGAAACTCTATGTCACGCATGTAAGCATCATGATTCACTGTTTTTTGCAAAGTGAAATTATAAATACTTTTTAAGTATCACCTACAATGCTCTATTAAACTCCAAAATAATAAAACTATTTACTTAGTTCATATAACACAGTATTCTTTTATTTAAAGAAACATTTTAATGTACTTTATGATAATGAACTTTTATAACATGAAATATTGTAACATATAAGATTTATTAAATGTAGTATAATACTAATATCTGTAGGAATTTCTCTCCTCTATTTCTAAAAATAAACATAATATTGCTGTTTCCATTATTTTTGCTACTGCTTCAAAGATTAAAATTAAAATAAACCACTTTTTGGTATTACTGAAATTATTAGGTCAGATTTTTCCATTTATATCTGTCACTATAAGAGTAGACTACCAATACAGACATATATTGACATGTAACACATGTAAAGTATAGAAAACTAAAAACTATACTCACCACTACTTCCAGCACTATCCAAGGAAGACGCACCAGAAGCCATACTCTTGATTCACCGAGGATCTACCACAAATATTTCTCTAGCAATGTACGTGCTAGGTATTGCCTGGAAAGTATCCATGCGCTGTACTTCACGGAAGAGTGAACCCTTTGTGAATTACTAAGAAGTAGCCTTCGGGATGACATTACGGCTATGGTCTAAACGGTGCATGGCGCTCATCAGAGGGATGCAACAGTGCACCTGGCACACATACACACAGAGTAGCTCTTACTCCAATACAAACACGTGCCTTGTAATATCGAGACTTTTCATGCATCACTTTTTTCCGCGCGGTTACTGATACGGGAGAAACAACGGGTGGACGTATGTTTTCTGAATGGACGTAATAAATTAATCTACGTTTTGCTGATGTGTCTCAATCTTTCGCGACCGCGTCGTATCCGTTCCTCTTTTCCCTGTCAACCGCGAGGTTATCGATCCTCGTACAAGAGTAAGCACAAACGGGTAACGATCGCCGGGTGGCTCATTTCTAACAAACTGAAAACTTGTTATCACTGTAGAAAAAAAGGAGCCAACAAGCCTTTCAGCAGTAATCTCGATCGCGCACCTCTTCAGATAATCCATTAACTCGCTCGACAACACTAAAATCGCCACAATTTTCACTTATTTCGGTCGTTCAGATTGCTGCAAACTGCGCACCGTTCATCCCGAAGCGACTAATGTCCCGATATTAACGATAATTGATCGCTCACCTGCTGCACCAACGAACCTGACAATTAGCCATTTTCATTCCGCCACTACAGTCTGTTTCGCATTGTCGATAATAAACATACTTTGTGGACGAGCTTGTTACCGAGGCTTGCGGCGCTAGTATCCACATAAAATCGGTCGATTATGTCGTTTGAAAAGGTTCGTTCTAGAATAGTACTCTTCCTATTAATGCATTCCTAAGTTTAGAATTTAATAATTGTAATTTAGGTTATGTAATATTTTTTAATATATATAAATTTATAAAATGATAAATTGGTTTTTACGAAATATGACTTTTTTTATGCATTATTAAAACTAAGTTATCTTATGAGACGAATATTGATTTTGTATATTCATTTAGAAAGGAAATGTACCTCTTCAAATTCGAAAATATAGTTATTATTGAAAATTTTTTTCTTAGGAAGAGTAATAATATGAAGTTAATTAAATAAAATAAATTTTAAATAATATTTTCAAATATAATTCAAAATATGTTTCACTTTACAACTGTAAATTTTATATAAATTATAGTTATGATATATAAAAATGGTATCTTGGAATCATAAGAAATTGTGACATTTAAAATATTTAACACGTTAAATATCGTTATATCTAACAGTTTTATTTTAATAAAATTTTTGAAAATCATTATAAAAACAATATGTGATAAATGAAAAATTTGTAATAAATATTTTAACTTATACTAGGAAGTATGTTATGTAATAATAATTGCAAACAATTGGTTTAAATCATTTTATTTATTGGCGAACATCATTACCACTGATTTTCAAGTTGACAGTCGTGCATAGAAAAGAAAAAATAGTATGCGAATACTTACACCAGTCATAAGAAATATATACTTTCGTGTCATAGTGTCAGAGAATAATAGTATTCGCAGTTCTGTTAGATAGATTTGGGCGATTAATATTAAATACAAAATATATATTTATAGCAGTAATATTTTATCTCTCTCTCGTACGCACTCACACTCTCTCTTGTAATATAATAACACATATCTCTTTGTAATATAGATAATCTTTCTTTGATTTTGCAAGGCCAGCATAGAAATCACACTAGAGAATGGTAAACTTAGTCTTTTTTTTTCTAAATTTTAGACAAAGAGACGCTCTTATCAAATGACCCATTATTTAAACGCAATTTACGTTATATACATTTGTAAAAGTAATCTCGACTAATTTCGAGCTCATCATAAATATGAGATTTAATACGTAGTAATGAAAATTTTTGGGTACCTGCATCTATTTCCAATAATAATATATATTCTTTTAAAATTTTGTTGTCCTGCAGCATCAGATTATTTACCATATGCATATGTGTATGTATGTATGTGCGTGCTTTCTTTAAATCATTTGATGTTTGTAGTTTGTTTATAAAATAATATTTTGAACGTTAAAATAATTGTAGTGTACATTTTTCGGTATTTGAGATGTTTGGAGCATCTCATTTCATAAATTCCACGAAACCAAATATTCGGGTGACCTATTTTACACTCAGTCTAAAACAACTTTGTAAAAATACGTTGATCGTAAACCGTATAAAATATACTGTGTGTGCTCATCTTTACGACAGTTAAAAATAGGACTACAGAAAAGTGTTCGCAACGATTGCTATTTTGTGTATATCTTTTGGAACTTTATTTTTCTAAAGATCTCAGCCGGCATTACAAAGATCATTATTTGACGTAAATTTGAATACAAATTGTCTTAAAATAGGTTTTGAGACATAACTTTTATAGTGACGTTTCTTTGATGAGAAATTTTTATTTATGTATTACGATTCTTTTACAGAATAGAGATTTCCATGAGTAATGATTTTTTTTCGACATAAGCAATATAAGTAATTAAAAAAATCATGTTGTATCGCATAAATGGCAAATCAGGAGTTTCATGTAAAATGGAAAAATGTGGTACACTCCAAAACGACATTGTACAGGCAGTGATAATTGTAATATGTCTGCAAAGTATTTGTAAAGACATATAAAGTTCCATTGAAATTCAGAAGAAAACTTGTACTTGTAGAAAAAACGTTTGCTTGAGAAAAGTATATGCTATTTCATACGCAGGTTTTAGAGGCAAATATCGTATGAAAAGGAATGTAAAAAACTAAGAAAAGTAGATTTTACTATGATAAACTTTGGTATTATATATGAGTGAACTTTCATGTCCCTCTGTCCTTTCCTTTCTTCAACACTTTCGATCTTTCTGTGTAGAAAGATTGCCGATTATTTACAAAAAAAATTATATAAAGTACAACGAGATTAATAGTAATGAAAATAATATTAATAATATTAATTATAAATCATACTAATACCATTGGTGAAAAATAATGAAAAAAGGTGCATAACTAAGCAAATGAAATACACTTAGTTTACTTTGCGTATTAGTGAACAATGAACGATAATACGTGTTTAAGACGCATGTTACTGACACATCGATACGTTGTATGTTATTAAACAATTTGGTGCATTTAAATCATTATAACCGTTAAAACGGTTAGAAAACCTAATCTTATTCTAAATTGGCTAATGATGCCGGAAGATTAACTAACGAGGTGTTCTCATATTTCTTAAAGTTGTTTCGGACTAATACTAAAAAACTAGTAATGGTTTCGGTAAATTTACCGCGACGAATACTGTAACTAGCGATACATATCTTTGTTTCAATGTGAGACGTCAGAAATATATCGATAAACACATATTTCTATAGCCCATAAGCGTGTGGACATTTATACCAGTCACTTTATACTGTTTTATGGGACAATAATACGCAGTTATCTTGTTCGAAAACAGTACGAGAACTATAACCGCTGTTTTATATATATATATATCGATCTCGATTTATGCACATTTAATTATTACAGATAAAATATGTTATATTAATTTCTGTATATTTACTCTCGATTTCGGAAACTAAGTCTAAAGGCCATTTTACTTTTTATTCTAATCTATTATAATGACAAGATGTATCTACTTTTTTAAACATTCCTATTCATATTTATATGTTGCGTGTGTTTGTGTGATCATTTATTTGTAACTATATTGACTATTAGACATTAACTTACACCTACTAATAAATTAATAGATAAATAATATTGTTAAAGGTCAAACAAATATTTCTACAAGTAACAATTGGCGTCTACGTTGCAAATATCTCGAAAGACGCATCGCTATATTTATATCGCAAAAACATTTTTTCTAAATATCCTTCACTGACCCTTTCTCTTGTAATATACAACGTTTGTATCAATTTCTGCCTAAAGAAGTTCAACCACAGTGTTAAAACATAACATAAAGCATTTCAATTACAAGTTTTAAACTCTTTGCAAACTACCTCGGAAAAATTTCTTTAAAAGAAGAGGTTCCGAAAAAGTACGACGTATAGAGTTTTCAACTACTGCGTTCAACTAATTATTAAAATCTAATAATTGCAACGGGAAGTTATCCGCCGATGAAGACAAATGTATCTCAAAAAGATTTTTAAACGGTAGATGTCTGTTGATTATTGTTATCCAATGGAATACTCGTGGGGCATTCTTTCAACATTGCTCGCAATCGAAGAATTTCCTTTGAAGCGGCTGCAAGGTCCGATTGTAACTGAAGCTCCTTTTCTCGAAGTCGTTTTATATCACGTTGGCAAGTCTGAAAAATAACATTGTACTTAGATTATTGAAGCATAATGCAGAGTTTTATATTTTTTATACGTACCACGTTTTGCCTCAGTAAATCTAATTTGTCGCATTTAAGCCTGGTGACTTCCATTCTCAAATTTTCATTTTCTAAAACGCCATCCTTAGTGGTACACCTTGTGGTATCATGAGTTTCGGCTGAACTCATCGATTCAAGGCCTGTATCGCTGTCTGGGTATACAGCTTGGTCTAGCTCTAGCTCGCTGTTTAATGAGCTGTCATCGCTTTCTGAAATAACCCGCTGGGTTGTTTCTGTTTTGTCCGACCTCTCTTGTTTCCGTAAATTTTCGTGAGTCAGTCTTTGAACGGACGATACAGAAGTTTTATCCACCACTGTGGTATCGTTGCTGCCACAAATCGAGGTGGTGGATTCTCTACGATCAACCTCGTCTTGCTGTAAGGTGGCCAAACTACTATCTTGATTGTCTGTGTTAGATAAACTACTGTCCTGACTTCCTAAGCTAGGGCTTCCACGTTCTGAATCTCTTCTAAGGGTTAAATCCGGAGAACCCAAGGGACTCGAAGGCTCTACTGAACGTTTACTGCTAATTTTTGTAGTCGATTGTCGATTGCTAGGTGGACTGGGCTCAGACTGGCCCTTTTTTGATAACTGCTGTGGTACACTCTCGGTTGAGGCGTTCCTAACGCGCGATATCAGCGCTTTTCGAACGGTATCGATAAATCTAGAGCCACTTCCACCACTACCAGATCCCGAAGCGTCGCTGGCTGTTGGACTTACTGGGCAATTTCCTCCGAATCCTAAACCGGTACCTCCTAAGCCAATTGCTCCACCAAGAAATTCTGCTGTCTTCGCTTGTAACTCTTCTGTCAGAGACTCTAATAGAGCTGATCTCGTTCTCAGCTACAGGATTAAAAATGACATCATTAGCATCTGAATTTAAATATATAATAAGTGGTCACTGTCGCTGGAATAATTCTAGCACGGAATAACATCACAAATCACACGTGCAATAATTACCTCAAGTTTCGAAAACTTTTCAGCTTTGTAAGCCGCATTCTCAGCGTTCACTAATTTCGTCAAAAGGAATTCCTTGAATTCGACTCCACGCAAAAATACAGCTGGCGTTGGCAAAGCTGGACCAAACCAGGGAACATCATTTCGTGCCGTTATACTGACCTTGTACCTATGTATAGAATTCATATGAGTGTCTACACAAATAACGTACCACGTGAAAAATGTAACGCATAAATATACCGAAATTACGATTAACGACAAAATCTAACGTCACCAACGACGAATTAAAATCTAACTTTCCCATTTACAAAACATAACCTTTAACGGTTCGTTTCAACCGGATGTTTGTTTGAGGTTAGGAATGGCGATTTCGTAACTGACGTAGCCGAACTTTATGCGACCTTACTACATAGACACGATGCATACGAATCTAAGAATATACCTCGTATTAGGAGTGCAGGGGTCGACGACTTGTACCACGATGAATGCATGTAAGAAGTGGCTAGCGATCATATCTGGACTGAAAGGGGTTGGCTCCTCTTGGAATATTATCGCGACGATGTCATTGCCGATGTGTCTTTTACGCTGCAATTGCTGCGAGTCTCCTGGACTGTATGGTAAAAGAGAAGCGACATGGAACAGCACTTCTCGACCTCGAAATACCTCGTACACCGCGGAATCTCCTGTCTGTCCGTGTCGAGTATCCAAACCTCCGCGATATCTGTGGACATTGACATTTAAGTTCGAATATTAGAGAGTAACGAGATCGTTTCATAACAAAAGCAGAGACCGATATTTGATGGTAATAAGTTACTGATTATTTGCTCTTTAATTCTGGCGTTGAATTATAATTTTTAATCTGTATCAAATAAATTCGCAATGGTATGGTTATGGTATTATATGATAATATTGCTTGGTAAAATGGAGATACTTTTTGGCAGACTGGAATTGTTAGTTGATATAAGAAGGCAGAAAATTTAATTGGATTTAATAAACTGTATATGTATAATAATGATAATATAATAATAATACTCTATATAATAAATAGATGAGTATATAAAGAAAGAAAAAAAGATTATCAAAATATAAGGGTTAAGTTAGGTTAATGAAGTTGATAGAATGGTAAATTTTTGTTACATTATAACTGTGTACCAGCTAGTAGTAATACAAAGGATTTTATAATAATCAGTATTTTGTCAGTCAAAATGAAAAGATTAACTTGCACTGCATTAATATAGGTTATATACAACTGATTACCCATGCAAAGTATTAAAAAGTATTAAAATAATAAAAATATCTTTAAAAATTATTAGGAGATATAAAAAAATGGTAAATAATAATACTAAAAATGTTAAAAATATCTTTTAAGAAATTATAAATAAAATTCAAAGTATTTAAGAAAATGTATGAAAACCTATATTCCATAGTCAGCAGTCTACTTTTCTTATTTTATTTCAAATATCAAATTACTCGGAAGAACAAAATTCTGTGACAAATGATACCAACCCTTTGTGATCTTTCAGATCAATTTTCTGACCCAGCAGGTCGAGAAATTCTTGGAAAGCAGGCGTGATCTGCCTATTCCCAAAAAGTTGTTCTTCTGTGACCTGGCCGGCACGTTGGTGAAGAACACCGAATTTAAACCTCGACACCAGAGCGTGTTCGTCGTACCGTGCTATCAGTGTACCGGCGCCGGAACAGACGACGGGCATCAGAGTGCTTACGTTCAGGGATTCGTTGATCGCCTGGAAAAAAGAGACTTCGTCAGGCCACACCGCATCCATAAACCATGATGTTAAAAAACGAAAATAAAAAATAATATATGCCGGGTATTTCTCGCAATATGCGTAACAAATAACTTCCTCTGTGATTAAACGTCAGCATCTGTTTCTGTTTTACCGACTGCGATGCATTTTTACACGAAATTTTCAAGGGTGTTTGACCGGATAGAAGAGAGACTTGTCTGGTTTATTTCTGATTCCTATGTATAGTTAAAGAGACATATTCAAATAATGTTTTTAAATAAATTCAAGAACATTTGAAATTAATTAAGTATTAATCACGCCATTATAAAATATCGAATTGGCAATAGAATTTAGAAAGTATGTACATAGATATAAAAAATATTATATATTCGTTTTATTCTGCTTGTGAAATGATACCTATTAATATTAATTTATTATCCAATGTGGCAGTTAAGTATAATATTGTGGGATTATTAAAAATAATTGAATAATTAATGTAAACTGGAAAATGTAGAAAAGTACTGAAGCAATATTTATAAAAAACTTAAGATATTAGAAATATTTATAATATTTTTCTATAAAATTTAAGAAATACTATTTAATATTTAAAACAAAATTAAACTTCGAGAAAAATTTGTTGTCAATCCAAATAATTCTATTATAGAATGAAGTATTAATTTTTTAACCCCTTACACTCGATGATTTTTTTGCTACAGAAGAGTAGAAATTCAAAGGTATTCTGCCATAAAGCAGACGATATTTTTTAGAACAGTAAATAAAAACTCGTGTGATAATTAACACGTAGAATTATTTAATTTCAATACCTCGCACACTATTACGTTATTTTAAATTTAGTATGTTCATCAATATCAATTTGAAGGTTGTCTCTCGAGTGCAAAAGGTTAAATAAGTTTTTTTAAAATCCTAAGTAATGAACAATTCTATCAGCAAAATTTACAATTTCGATGTAGCTGCATTTCGAAAACGGTAAAAGCTTTTGTAACGAGTACTCATATGAAATGTAAATTTGCGCAAAATCATTTGAATTGAAAATGAACAACAAAATTTCAATATTTATTATGCAATATGCATAAAACATACATATGTCTGCGTAATACAGGCAGCTTGGTAAACCTCGACAATAGTTACAAATACCAGGAAGAGATTTCAATTGTTACTTTATAGGTTCAAATTAAGGACAATTAGAAGCCTACAATTAAAATGCAGATACGAATCAAGTACTTGCTACAAATTCTGCAGACATTCGTCAATACGTATTGAAAGGAAATTCATGAAATATACATTTATTTCTATGTGATCATTAAACTTGCGAGTAATTATTTAAATTCGTTGCCTATAATTTGTGACTCTTATTGAGGCTATTTCTATATGAAAATTAATAAATTAGCAATGGAATAATAATATAATATATTATGATAGAAAATAATAATGTATAATAAAAACAAAAGAATTTATTAGATTTATAGAGAACTTCTTTTCCAAGCTTTTCATATTTCATTATTATAAGAGAAATAGTAAAGAAAATTCGTGAATTTTACTATAATAATATTTGTAAATTATTAGTGGAATAATAGTATAAAACATTATTATAATAAATAATAATATAAAAACAAAAAAATTTGTAAGGCTTATTAAGAATTTTAATAATTTATTTAACTAAACTATTTTTTAACTATTTTTGTAACAATATTAATAGAAATATTTAAAACAAAATTAAACTTCGAGAAAAATTTGTTGTCAATCCAAATAATTCTATTATAGAATGAAGTATTAATTTTTTAACCCCTTACACTCGATGATTTTTTTGCTACAGAAGAGTAGAAATTCAAAGGTATTCTGCCATAAAGCAGACGATATTTTTTAGAACAGTAAATAAAAACTCGTGTGATAATTAACACGTAGAATTATTTAATTTCAATACCTCGCACACTATTACGTTATTTTAAATTTAGTATGTTCATCAATATCAATTTGAAGGTTGTCTCTCGAGTGCAAAAGGTTAAATAAGTTTTTTTAAAATCCTAAGTAATGAACAATTCTATCAGCAAAATTTACAATTTCGATGTAGCTGCATTTCGAAAACGGTAAAAGCTTTTGTAACGAGTACTCATATGAAATGTAAATTTGCGCAAAATCATTTGAATTGAAAATGAACAACAAAATTTCAATATTTATTATGCAATATGCATAAAACATACATATGTCTGCGTAATACAGGCAGCTTGGTAAACCTCGACAATAGTTACAAATACCAGGAAGAGATTTCAATTGTTACTTTATAGGTTCAAATTAAGGACAATTAGAAGCCTACAATTAAAATGCAGATACGAATCAAGTACTTGCTACAAATTCTGCAGACATTCGTCAATACGTATTGAAAGGAAATTCATGAAATATACATTTATTTCTATGTGATCATTAAACTTGCGAGTAATTATTTAAATTCGTTGCCTATAATTTGTGACTCTTATTGAGGCTATTTCTATATGAAAATTAATAAATTAGCAATGGAATAATAATATAATATATTATGATAGAAAATAATAATGTATAATAAAAACAAAAGAATTTATTAGATTTATAGAGAACTTCTTTTCCAAGCTTTTCATATTTCATTATTATAAGAGAAATAGTAAAGAAAATTCGTGAATTTTACTATAATAATATTTGTAAATTATTAGTGAAATAATAATATAAAACATTATTATAATAAATAATAATATAAAAACAAAAAAATTTGTAAGGCTTATTAAGAATTTTAATAATTTATTTAACTAAACTATTTTTTAACTATTTTTGTAACAATATTAATAGATTATTCGTGCAAAAACAATACAAAATACTTGAAGAATAAGTAATAATATGAAAGCATAAATGTTTTCAAGATTTACAGAAAATTTCTATACTTTGCTATTTTGTAATACATTTATTCGAAAGCTTATTGCATTATTGTCGAAGCATTAGCAACAACATCAATTTATTCAAGTTATCGCAATAATAAAGTTCCTTTCGACTTCTTCTGTCTCTCTTATTGCGTCAATTCTAGATGGACTTGCCTTATGCATAAACTTTGTTCCAACTTTAGCGATTTTCAAAACACTGGAAAATTATTTTGAAATTCAAAAACCGTGAACTTATGTTCGAAATTTTCCACGATCGATTTATGAGATAACTTGGAAATACCCCTAATTTCTATGTTTTATTTTCTTCAGCTTTGGCGCCAGTCCAAGTAAATGTTTACGAGCGACGAAAATGTCAAACGCATTCCTTTCGAACTAATATCTGACAAGTCTTGCAAACAATACTCTTCCCTCATTGTCTGTCTACTACAAAATCTCTATAATATTTTTTACACGTTAAATAGTGAGAATTTTGAGAAAAGGAGAATTTTTTTTCTCATATAGGAAATTTCAAACAATACTTTTCTTCTCTCGTTATCTACTACAAAACCTCTATGATATTTTTTGACACATTAAATAATAAAAAAAAGAATTCTTTTTTTCTCATATAGAAAATTTCGCCAAAAACAAAACCATTTAGTTTTCATTCATTATAAAAATAATATACTATAGTAATTTCTTTCTATTATGGAAATATTTTATTATAATAATTCCTTTTTATTAAAGAAATAATGTAATATAATAATTCCTTTTTATTACAGAAATATTTTTTTATGGTAGTTATTTTTATTACAGAAATATAGTCTAGTAGATCTTTATTAGTATAGAAATATTATATTATACTAACTTTTTTCCATTATAGAAATATAATAAAAATATTGCTACTTCAGAATAATTTAAAATATTTTGAAACGTATAATTTTTAGATAAATTACAAGTAATAGTAAAAATAAAGATTCGTATATTTATATGCACTATTTATCTGGACGTTTATATAACTACCATAGCAAGTAGTTTATGATAAGTAAATTATCTGTGGTAATATTTCAAATTTCATTTTTATTTAATACGCGATATTTAACTTTCCGCAATTGATTAAATTTTTCTTTTAAGAAAATATAAATAAATAAAAATTTACAACAAAAAATTTGTATTAAATATAGAATAATCCAAATTTTTAAAATATAGTCCAATATCCTTATTAACATTAGAACTACCGAGTAGTAATGCACAGTTAAAAATACTGCGTATACCTAATAATTATGGAACTAGTATAATGAAGGTAAATTACGCATTTACTTGAATAAATAAGTATCTGTATGCCTTTAATAACTGCACAAATAAAATATTTGACAGTAGATATTTTGGTTTGTTTGGTATTTCTAGCATTAATAATACCCAAGATACTCCCTATATAGTATGCAATAAAATAATAAATCCCCTATAATTTCCAGTGTTTTGCAAGACTCATGCAATGTATGCAAATTTTACGTATATACTTACTCATATTATAAAATAATAATTTAAAAGAAAATTAACTATATTTCACATTTTTTCTATAAATTTTACTCAATCATGAGAAAAATGGGTGTGGTAAAATGATACCACACATGAATACCAATTTGACCCCAAAAAATTGTACATCATATTAAGTTTAAAATACAAAGGAACAAAAAATATCGACTTTTTTTATAAGTGCAGAAATATTCCAAAGATAGTAATCCTTTCCCAACATTTTTGTCAATGTGTCATAAATTAAATTTAATTTATATGTTTCTTTTTAACAAAATACAAGGTTTTGAGGTTACACGAAAGCTCTGAAAACCATTAGATGTGTTACCACTCGTCACTGCATCGACTAAATTTTGCTGCTCAAAAACGAAAAAATGCCTCAGGTATTTTCCTGTAATAAATCCAAATCTGTCCGTAAAAACTATTACCACGTTACATTTGAAAGCCAAATAAATAAAACCTCGTTTTTTTCAGAAACACTCAAAAGAAAACAATTTTTTCCAACAGCTTTGTCAACAACCAGTATCAAAACTCCATTCACAATCACCCAATCCTTTCCGCCAAGACATACCACTTGGATGTTGCCCAAGAAACACGAAAATAAAAATCGCAGAATATACCATCGTCCTGTCGCGAAACAACATCTCTATAACACCCACAACGATCATTCTGCATCTTCCCTCACCCACTTGACCTTCCATCGCGTTCTTCTCCTCGAGGGTTAAAACAGTGCAACGCACCCGCTCGATAGATTCTAACGAGCCTAGAAGAGCCACACACACACACACACACACACGTTTGATACTCTACGAAACATCTCTGAAAGGAGAAATTCGCGGTGAAAGCGGCAGAGACAAAGAGGTACTTGAACTTCCATATCTCGTCAAAGACCCCCCAAAAAGGGAAAAAAGAGAAAAAAAGAAAGAATAAAAAAAAAGAGAGAGAAGAGAGAGGCTTCACCTTGACCATCTTCGCGGGTGACGGATTCGGGCCGAGGTTCGCGGCGGGTACCAATTCGTGAGTGGAACCAGCCCGCAATCGCAGCAAGACCCTCCAGTGTTCCTGTCCAGCAACCGTCTCGGCCTTCACCGAGACGAGGACCGGCCCGTTCTCTCCGTCCCGTCCCACCAGGTTCACGTGCTCCTGCAAAAGAAAAAGGTTTAAGCTGGATGAAACGAAGCGGGTCTTTTTACGATCGAGGCCGAGTCGCTAGTCCGCGAGATGCACCGACCACTGGCCTCTAGTCGGCCAACTTTGATGCCCTTCTGCGTCGAGCACCTTGCCGGTGAAAGGTGCGACATTTTCGCAGGCCAAAACGACGCGGTTAAGGGTGCACGTGCCATGAAAGGTCGAAAGAGTTACGATCGGGTATCGATTCGTTCACTTCTGCGTCCTCTTACGGCAGATTCGGCGACAACGCGAAAAGCGCGGACCTGGGTTCATTGCAGGTACACTGCGCATAGGAAAGTATTCGTATGTGCCATTTTTAACATAAATGCGTGGAAAATAAAAATTCGTGATAAAATATCAAGAGAGTAAAATTAAAAGTATTTACAATACGTTTCTTGCAAACATGCAGATTGTCATTAAAAATATTTGAAAGCGATGTTATTATCAGTCGAAAGAGAGAGGTCTGGATGTTGTTGTTTATGATTGCCTTAAGAGGACTTTCCACTGAACTCACTAGCGCCACCGTGACCCGTATCTCGAACGAAGGTACTGTAGACGTTCTGTATATCGTTGAATTACTTTTTAACTTTACTGATATAATCTGGTACGTATATTTCAATTATCGAACGTAGAATACTTTCGTGTACAAGTGTATATATAGGGTGTTCCATAAGTAAGGTGGCGAATTCTGTTGGAATGTGAGTTTTGATGGGAGATCGGGCTTGGAGAAAGAGAGTTACAGTTCCATCTGTATAATTCAAACCTCTTTAAAGAAAGGAACTCGGGAAACGGTTTAAAGAAACTGATCTTTTTTCATTGCATTTTTTGTCGCAAATAATGCTTTAACGTCTCAAGAATGTGATATAAATACTTCAGACCGAAATTCAAATACAAGTAAATTTCTAAAGTATTGACTTCTTTAAAACGAAAATTTAAAACCTGTTTTTCTCAAAACCACATTACCTTTTTTTTTTTCTTTTTAAACTGACGAGCAGTATAACTCTAAAAATAATTAATCGATTAAATTAATCCAAAATATATGTATATAACTAAATTTTTCAGGTTGTTCCTCAAAAACAAAATCGAAAAAGACACTGAAAATTCTATTGCTGGATTTTCATCTCCTCAAAGTGATATTTGTAAAAGAAGAAAAATTATTATACTAGTGTTAATATTTTAAACATATTGATGGACTCTTTTAGTTGCTCATGGAACACCCGGTAGATTTAAAAAAAAAATTATTTTAACAATTTTTTCTTTTTAAAGGACAGGAAATACAATGACATGATATAACAGTGACATAATGGCAATAACAGGAAGCAAGTGATGATATTACCTATATTTATAAATACAAACACGAGCAGAAACGGAGCCGAGAAATTACGGTTAACGTACTGGCGGTTATTTTCAATATCATTTTACATTTTCACTCAAAAATAGTTTTACATGTAAACACATTTTTTCGAACATTCGACTTCTTTCTTCGCGAAAAAATTACTACTCGTTCAATTGCTACGTATTCAAATAAATAAAGCTACGAATGGTGGACAATTTGTAATTAAAATTACAAATTAAAATTAACAATTTCTTAGTGAAAATTTTCTTTTTTATAATTCATTGCACGTATTTCGTGCAATATTTTAAATTAGAAATAAAGATTTTTCATAATAATGCGAAGAATTATTCTAATTTTTGTTTTTATCGGTAATGAATATAATCATTTATCATTAGACACTTGCAGCAAAGTATTTTCATGTTACAAGATTAATTATCTTTTGACGAAGCAGTTAAACATTCTTCTAATTAATTATTTGGACAACTATGGAGGCCAGAAGTATTTATTTATAAAATTTATCAGAAAAAGAAAAAATCCTTTTATATATATTCGTTTATAAAAAAATATTCGGTATATAATTGATATTTTGTCAGATTTAGACAGTTTTCTTCAACAATACATAGTACCAGTAGCAGTATTTGTATACCAATAAATTTTCCATTCATAATATTTACATAATTCTGAAAATAGAATAATACAGAAATTTTCAATTACTAAACTGTTTGCGAATGAATGTGTCAATAAAAAAATGACTATTTATAAAATATAATTTAACGAATGCTCAATTATAATGCTTTGCACGTGCGATTTTTTTGTTACAGGAAAATAGTAATTTGAAGACTTTCTGCCATAAGGTCGACGATATTTTTAAAACGGTAGATAAGAAATCGTATGCAAATTAAGACGTAGAATTATTTTACTTCGACATTCGACGCATCGTTGGATAATTTTAAATTTGATATATTAATTAACAGCGATCTTTAGAACCTGATTAAATGGCGACCGAGAATCGCCTTTCGAGTGCAAAGGGTTAAATGCAAAAATGGTAGCGTGATATCGATATAAGTAAAACCTCGTTTCATTATCAGCTTAAAAGTTCTAACGATTCTCGCAACAATTATATGCATGGATGTATAAGGTGTACGTTAAATAACATGATATACCAGGTATTTTGTGTTACACAATATGTGTTACGACGTAACACGTTGCGGTGTATCATTATCGTACGTTAGGGTAACGTGTTACATTATGTTACAGCACACCGGGCACACCTATCAAAGTAACATGTCACTGTACCGCAAAATGATATAAGCTAAGGTAAGTCTCTTTATCGGTGAAAGATTACGCGACGACGTAAGAAAATTAATATATTCGAAATTAACAAATGCTAAGGCCAAAGAAATAAATATGACTATTTAAATGTAAATTTATGATTTTGACATTACCACATTATCATTTTAAATCTATACCGTAAACAGAATATCCTTGAATTTATATTATTTTCAGAATACTAATGCGAATTAACATAATTATATGTTAATATTTATCGGATAAAAGATAAGTGTTAATTTAAATAATTTTAATTAATTAAAATGCAAGAAAAATGGTAATAATTTAATTTTTAAGCTATAAAATAACTTTATCTTATAGTATAGTTATCTTATATAAGATAACTTTGAGTAAAAATTAATACAATAATTTATTTAAATTGTTTAAAATGTTTTTAAATTGAAATGTTGATTTAAATACGTAATATTTGAATTTAAAATAATGTATATACTTCAAGAACCTAAATGTAATGTTTATAATTCACTAAATTCGGGAAATTGCATAATGTAATCATTATCTTTGTATTATTACGATATAATAGATTACGTTAAAAATTCTTTTTCTCACTGGTCTCTTAATTCATGAAAATAATTTACAAAATAGGGTCAATAAAATGGTAACCAGCCTACATAATTAAAGTACAATGGAAAGTCGATTATACGAATTTTGATTATGCGAATGACCGATTATCGCAAATTAAAAAATTTGTCATGTAATATATCTGAATTTGACTAGTAAAGACTATTTATAATATAATTCTTAATTATTAAGAATACTAGAATTAATTATTAAGAAGACTATTTATATTATAATTCTTAATATAATTCTCAATTCTTAAACAAATTTTAAAAATTTTTAGCTGATTTATGACATAATAAAAAATTTGCTTCTTTCAAACCGATTATCTGAACGAATTCATCTCTGAATTAATCCGAAAAATCGAAGTTCTACCGTATATATTAAATTATAAAAATTGTAAAAGGTATAAATATGAAATTTTTTCAACAATTTATAGGTCCCTTTTTCCATTTAAATATTTCAGTCGTCACAGTTTTGGCAAAAATGATGATTTTTCTATTTTTAAATTAAGAGGGAACAACAGAAGCTAATTTTACGTATTAATGCTATGTATGAATTATGCTATTACAAAGTAATATTTATATACCATTAGTCGAATGCTGAGAATTACGAATATATCATTAGTAATTTAATGTTAGCACACGTGTGTTATCTTATTATCTGAGAGCTCCACGTGCATATCTCGTAACGTATCTCATAGTTTCCCATAACTTCTGTTTATAATTTCCGTTACACTGTATAATTGACTCGATGTATTTTAAACAGGCTGATATATGACGAATTATATCGAATTATCCTGGCAAAGAAATACTGACGTCGAAATCTCATGGGAGATCTAGAAACATAAAAGGTAAAGCGGTTCTTGAATCGCTGGTGATTCTTACAGTGGAAAACATTAAGCAGACAAAGAAAATTAATGGAGACGAAAGGAACACTTGAGAAAGAATTTTTAGAATTTGTTGTTTATATAAATTTTAATTTATAAATTAAAATATATCAATTTATATAAAGTTCCTATTTTATATTTTTATAGTTCACATTTTTAATTTTACATTCTTATAATTTATATTTTACACTTTGAATTTCATATTTCTATATTTCACATATTCCAATATTTCAAAATTTTTATTTTTATAGTTCGTATAATATATTTTTATATTTTGCGTTGTCCTTAAAGATATTCAATACGAAGGAGAAATCCAAAGTAAATAATTAAAATGAGCAATAATTTGCGATTAAATAACCAATGAAAATAAATAAACCATCACTTTATAAAACATTTCTTAACAGGAACTTTCTAACAAGGTTTATTGCCATTTTTCTTACTTTTAAATTTGAAACATGATTTCTCTCATTAAAATATAATCGTTAATAAACCCCAATGAATTTATGTCACTCTAAATTCACCTCTAATTATATATCACGTTCTTGTACCTCTTATTCATATTTTCTTAAATTCCAGAAAATTATTTTTCATCGTTCCAAAATTTATTTCCCTCGTATCCACGAAGCCAATTTTCCATAGACTCGCAGGAATTTAATTTGCCAATTGAAATCTAATTAAAATCACAAGTCGATACCGAGTAGATACCGCCTGAGTCAACGTACGATTTAAGATGTTGTCACAACACGAGGTCGAATTTTTCCTAGGCCTGATTCGCGACTCAGGAAAGCGTTGCACTACAAACGTATTGTGTACCCCCGCAACGAGAACAGGATGCGTGCACGC